GAATTTCTTGAATTCTATCAAATATCTGTTGTTTCAATAACTAGATTGTGTTTCTATTATTTTAAAACTTTGGTGGTAACACTTCAATTTTGGAGGCCAAGTTTATCAAAACTCATAAAATTCATGAATTCACGAAATTACTTCACATTCATGTGATAGTAGTAACGTTTATTTCCTGTATTTTACTGTGAGAAATGGGATGCTGGTGAATTTGAAAAGAAATATAAAATGAGCAAGACTCGAAGCATTTTTAAGAAAACTAAACAGGAAACATGATGGGATTCGAAAGTTACTTGCTGCATTTAGTCAAAAAATATATCATTTTGCCAGTCATGAAAAATTTAAACACGCCGATAAGATCAAGAAGGTGAGCAGATATAGGTTCACACCATTCACTGTCTAATGCAAAGAATCTTCAAAATCTAGTTGAATGCCTTCACAGAAGTCGGTGATAGACGGCACCAGTCCAAGTTCAACACTCAGAACAAAAAAACTTAACTGAAGGACTAATCTACAAAGAAGATCTTCACCTCAGCCAGCCATCAGACAAAATGGAAGATATCGAACAACATCCCTGAAGAAACCTGTGAAGATGAATACTAGAACTCTTTGGAAGCTATGTGGAAAGAAACCTGCATAACCGTATAAGGAAGGAAGGGGAAAGAAGACAGGACAAGGAATGGATGTCGATGGACACATGGAAGCTGATAGAGGAGGGAGAGGAGTATGGTGGAGCAGAAGAGGAACCAATGCAAGGATGTACAACGTAAAGAGGAACTGAGTACAACGTATAAAACACTACACCGCAGGTTACTTGCTGTCTGTGAAGAGATGAATACAGATGAAACCAGTAACAGATGATGAAGGAAACTGATTAGCAAAGAAGAGAAACAAAGGAGAGGATGGGCTGACCACTTCAAAAAACCCCTCAATCGACCACCAACTGCAACTTGTCCGGAAATGCCACCAGCACCCCTGCCATAGAACTATCAGTGGGCACAAAAGCTCAGACAAAAGCAGAAGTGAAGTCCTGAAAGCAGTAAGGCTACTGAAATGCAGGAAAGCAGCAGAACCGGGTGATTTTCCGCCAGTAGCACAGGGAACAGACGCAGGAACAACAGCGGACATGCTCACATCACTATTGCAGAAGGTGTGGAAGGAAAGAAGGTAGCTGCCGATTGATTGGAAGGAAGGCTATCTTGTCAAACTTGCAAAGAAGGGCGACCTTATTCCTCGCAAGAACTGGCGCGTGATCATACTGCTTTCCCTGTCCACCCCAAGCAAAATTTTAAGCCGCATCATCCTGGAGAGACTAAAGGATGCACTGGATTCAAAACTACGACCGGAACAGGCTGGCTGGCTGGATTCAGGAAGTACAAATCATATGCGGACCAAATTGCAACGCTTCTCTACGCATCATCATAGAACAGAGTACAGAATGGCAGTCAGCTCTCTGCCTCAACTTCATCGACTTTGAAAAGGCCTTTGACAACGTCAACCGACAAGTAATTTGGCAACTGCTTCAACACTACGGAATACCGCAAACCTTTATCAACCTCATTCAACAACTGTATGAAGATGCCACATGCCAAGTGATTCACACTAGGAAGCCCAGTGATGCCTTTGAAGTGATTGTGATTGACTGGACTGGATCATGCAGCAAACAGTGAGGAGCGAGAAGAGGGGGATTCGCTGGACCGGGGAAAAGATCCTAGAAGATTTGGATTTCGCCGATGATGACTTGTGTCTCATGTCACACAAACTTGAAGATCTACAGGCGAAATCCAACCAGTAGGCAGAAGAGGCAGTGCAGCGAAGATGGAACTTCAAGTGATGAACGTAGAGAAGACAGAGGTGGTGAAGATACCAACCAACACCACCAACAACAACAGCAAGCTGTAATCACCACCAACGGGAGAAACCTTAAGGAAGTAGTCTCTTTCACCTACCTAGGTGAGGCAGCACCGTTTCAACTAGAGGTGGCACAGACGAGAACGTGGAAACCAGGATCGGAAAGGCAGGACGGGTTTTCATTGACGTGAAACCAGTGTGGAATCTTCTGCACTCAGCATAAAGCATGAACAAGATGGTTGAGAGACTTGGCGTATTACGAAAAACATTTCCAACAAACTGCAGACATTCATCAACAGCTGCCTACGCTGGCTCGGTACTGAAGCTCAGATAGTCAGAGTAGTAAGAATAAGCAACAAGGAACTCTGGCTGGCTGGCAACGAACCAACCAAGAACCGATCGCTCAACAAGTATGTAGAAGGAGGTGGAGATGGATTGGGCATGCACTGGGAAGACCACTGGGGGACATCACGCGACAGGCACTGAAGTGGAACCCAAATGGGAAGCGACGAGTTGGGCGTCCGTGGCGAGGGTGACCTTGAGGAGATGGTGTGAGGAAGAAATGAAAGCTTGTGGGCAGTCGTGGAGCCAGGTTCAAAAGATTGCAGAGAACAGAGTGGAATGGAGACATGCTAGTGAGTCCCTATGTTCCACTTGGAACCCAAAGGACAAATTTTAATAATAAGACAGCGGTAGGTAATCGAACTGTCTGCTTTGTCTTTAATGTTTAGCACTGTTCAGGTTGTGCATTTGACATACAAGCTGTTCCACAACATTATAGTGCCAATCAATTTCCACCGTCCTACACCGTTTTCACATAAGGTTTTAAATAATGTTTGTAACAGTTTTGTGTTTGACTTCAATTTGATGTGGAAAATAATGATTTTTTGGGGGAAAGTGAAAGACCAGTTCGGCAGTCAAGACGCTTTTTCTCCATCTGCATCAATAGGGAATCTCCTAGAGAATATACTAACATTTTCTTGTATTTAAACTTATTTTATATCGTTTGGACTTTAAAGCATATAGTGCCGTTTTCATATAATTAATTTACTCATTCGAATTCCGCGAGCGAGATATTTATACTGAAAGTCAAGCAAGCTGAAATTCATTCGTGATTTCACTCCACGCTCTCAGTGTTATTCTGAACGTGTAATGAATTGAAGTGGAGGAATCGCCAACCGTCTATAGATTTGAAAAATATTGCTTTAGATGTCAAAAAATTCTCTATGAATGCACCTTTTGTAGCATACTTGTCTGAGTTCCTAGAAATTTCGTCTTTCTACTTACTACTGAAAAACAACTCCCTGAGAAAATTATCCAGAATTCTGAAATTTATGTTTTAAAAGTTCGTGAAGAAAACTGGTCAATCCACACAAATATATATATATATATATATATATATATAAATTCGGCAGATCAGAAAAACTTATTCATAAACTGTCCAATCAGTTATTTTTGTCTACCTGTACACCAAAATATTTAGCAGCACTACTAGAATACTTTGACGATCCCTTTTCTATTATTTGAAGATTACTGTTAGCAGAAAACTGCAAGCTACATCTAACTTGGCAGTAAAGTTTTTGTCATTGTTTGTCAAAAAAACTTGCAGTGAAAAATGGTTACCACTCTTTAATCAAAATTTTATCTGATTGATATGAAACTTTTCCCAAAAAGTCATAAAACCCAGTAGCTGCGTCACATACATTCAATTTGTAATTGCATATAATAGAAATTTCTGCCAAAAACTTAATCAGACATCCAGGTGAAATTGAATAAAGCAAGAAGTACAACTGTAGCAAAATTAGCATGCATGTATTTCGTGGGTTTTCCTCAGATACTTTATAACCTAAAGAATATAATGTTTGCGAAGAACAATATGTTACCCAATGTGCTTCAATAAATCGACAAAATCTTATAAGTATTGATATGGAAGGTAACAAAGATTTAGGTTGGCCTATATTGATGACTAGTCAAAGGTGAACTATTTATAGTGATAGAACTTAAATTCGGCAGAAGAAAGGGGAAAATTGTGTATAAATATGGATGCAAATGGGAGGGGTTGTGCATAATGTTATTCTAGAATTGGTAAAAAGGACGTCATTGTCAGATAAACGTAGTAATGTAGTCCTAACAACTTTATCAGTATTGGTCAACCTAAATCTTTATTGCCTCCCATCTCAGTTTGAATATATCCTGTGGATTTTTAAAGTACGTTGTGTAATATAGTGTCCATTAAAAACATGATGTCTTTTAGGTTGTGAAGCAGGTGAGGAGAACCTGCGAAATCTATGCTTGCTAATTCTGCTATTATTGTTCTTCTTGCTTTATTGAAATTTGTGAAAGGGAAGAACTGTATGAAGGTTTAAGTAAACGTTTTCACCTATGAAGATGTATTAACTGGCGATACTTCTCTATACACATCTACTATTTCTGGCTTTGCTACTACAATTAGGATTTTACTTATTTATTCGTATACACTGGTAAAACCTTGAAAATTATAACAAAATCGTGACTTTTTGAGGTAACTTTTTAAATTGATACTTTCCAAGTTCTAAAACTCCAATGAATGGACATTTTATTATCAAACTGCAGATTGTCATCTTTTGATGTGCTTTGACAGTTTTCATTTGACGCTAATAGGCCATTCAAGCAAAGGAGGTGCTTAGGTATAAATCTACTGGTAAGAGATTACAAGGCAATAATGGAATTCGGAATAATGAATAATGTAGTGAATTCACTACCAGTCAGACACCTACCTTTTAAATAATCAGAGACTAAATTCGATCTGAAGTATCTTGTGAGAAAGGTGAGGCTCTGAAATTTTTGTCGACAAAGGAAGCACAGAAAAAGTTCGACTTTTGTATTTACTCTAACTACCATAATTAAGTGCTACTGAGAAATAAATTTTATTAATATCTGGTGGGGAAGTGATTTCTTATCTTTTTGATCAATTTATTTCTCTCACATAGACTGAATCAAGTAAATCAGAGAATAGTGGAAATTTTAGTGCGGTCGACGAATCTCAAGGGGAAATAGATGTATCCATGGAATATAATGTGCAAGGCAATCAGCTAGCTATAATGCTTTGGGCTTTACGTAATCTGACAATTAGGAAGCGCATACTTGGTATCCTGTAAGTTTTGAAAATTATGAAAGTTTTTCCCTGATTTTTTTTTAGACAAATTGTGATGAATTTAACTATTTCGAAAATGTTTTCTTCCCAAAAGTACCCAGTTCAAAAGTGTTTTAATCAGTTTATGTTTGTCTATTAAAGTCTGTTGATCATCTAGATGTATATGAAATATCATTCCGCCTTTGAATTTATTTTTCAAGTGAATAGTAAAGTTTTGAAAGTCAACTTCTCTCAGGAATTTCCAGGCTTCAATTGATCGCTTTCTGGAACTTGGAACTGAAATTGTGACAGCCTCAGGGTATTTCACATACCTCTCAGATAGATATCACTGTCAACTGTAACCGGAATGCTAAATGTTGACAGTAAAATTACTTTCACTTTGTTTAGGTCAGATTCTCAATTGTTTGAGGGCAACTACCATTATTTACGATGCCGACATAATTTTATAGACAGTTGAATATGAGAAGTGTTTCTCCAACATTATGAAGTTTTTACACTTATTTGCTAATGTAAGACATATTCTGAATACTTTTGAATGTCTAACAACAAAATCCATGCACTGTGTTCCCAAGTTTCCTATTATTACACAGATTTCTGGTTACTTAATAATAACAGTAATAATAATAGACTTATTCCAAAATAATATATGTGATACAGTAAGTAATTTTCTGTGCATAATGTTAACAAATTCACCTCCAAAACTATATTTTTAAACAAACGATCATTGCATGTGAATGATATTTCTAATAACAACGTCACAGGTAGTAACGTGAAGTAGCCGGTTTGTGCTAGTTTAGCATACAGCGTTTAGTGGTCGTGGTTTATTCAGCCAGTAAAGGAATGTACTATTTGAGGTAGGTATCTGAAGAAAAGAAACATAATGCATTTTTTTGCAGTGAGGAGCCCACTTCCGTCTAAAATGATATTTTTCCTTCGTTTTATTATTACTTCGAAAAACGACTAGTTCAAAACATTTTAAAAATCTGCAACAACAAGTATTACTTTTTGAAGACATAATTAGGAGAATAAAACAAACTAAAAGGGAGGAATTTTATATAATACATCTTGTGGAAAATTTTATTGGTAGCCCAAAGTCCAAGCGCGCCACTTGAATACTGTAATAAAATAACTTGGTTTTTCAAGGTATGGAACTGCAAATGCGTGTGAGTGATGCGCCAAAAATAGGTTTGATAATTACCGTATCTCATGTTAGTATTCAGCACTGACTAACATCAGTTTTTCCACCTCAACATGACTCTTTTATTAGCCAGATGCTTTCTTGTTATTACAACTTTTACGCTAATTATTATGTAACCAACATTTTTGCGATTTGATAGCTTTACACTGCTGTTCAGCCTATTGTTCCATCACAGAATATTCTGTTCAGAAGGATGATATTCAATTTTTAAATTATTCAGAAACTGCACGGTTTGCAGTGAAGTTTCATACAGCTGAGTTGTTTCTCATCTGGTTGGTTACGGTGTCGATATTATTTCTTTTCGATATCAACATACCAGAATCGTGTAATGGAAAATGTATCAAAATGTGTAGTGAGTGAAATAATGTGCACAATAAGTAGTCAACATGCACTCATGTTGATCTAAGGCTCACTCAGATGGGGCTACAGAATTTTGCAGGTTAGAGTGAATCATATTTTCACTATTCATGTTTTTCGGTAGTGTGTTTTGTTAATACAACTTCGTTCTATCTTATGGTCATCTCCGATGTTGACATTGTCGTTATCATTACTTGTAATCAGATATCTTGTGATTAGTCTGTGCAACACTGTTGATGAACTCGTAGATGACTACTATAATATAGCATTCTTATAGCTCAGGATGAGGACAGAGGGTGACTGCTTTTTTTTGAGATTTGATTTTGACTGTCATAACTATCTGCTCTATTCATATAGGGTGAATGTTTGCTGACTGTCTTCACTCCTCATGACCAATTAAAGTATATTTTTGAATAGCTTCATGTCTCCTCTTTGTTTATAGAAATTGTTCATCTCTGTGTTAATATGCCATGATTTATGCATTATGAGGTAGTGTTCGGTGTGTACACATGCCTATATTACATCACGGCATAAATAACCAAGTTTGATGAGTTTCCAGTTGATTAATTGAAGTGAAAATAGTGAATCCATCAAATTTAGCTTCAATCACCTCTGTTGCATGTTTCAAAGTAGTTTATCTTTTCTTTGCTGTTTAATTTTTTGTTAGTTAGATATTCTGTGGGCAGAAATGAATTAATTAGAGTTGTCATTCCTCTATTCGCTGTGTTTCACGTTTATAAATAATTATTTTAATATGTACCGAACTCTGTTTGATATCAAAAGCAGTCTTCTTAATCCTCAAATGTTCTCAGTTTTTCTCGTATTCCTTTGTCCGTCTTATCACATGATTTCGTGAATACACGTCATGCATATGAGATGTCATTTGATAGAACAAAAACGTACAAAAAACACTTTCTCAACTGCATTCCTAATCACAAATATCCACCTAGTTCTTAAAAGTCTACATGTTTTTTCAACTATCTGTTCAGCATGTAATGCATACTGGAAAATAATGAAATAGTTACTTAAAAAGCGGTAGGCTATCTAACCTCATCTACAATTATTGCTTGGGTAAATGGAAGTTTAAAGAGATGTGTCATCAAATTTTAGAGATAAACTCATAACTAGGTGGTTTTTTGCAATTTATTTCATGTACAGTTTATGCACACTGTTTCGTCAGGGATGAAGGACACTACTGTTTGATTAAAAAGTTGGAGGAATATGTTAAATTTTGTCATTCAGAAGGTACCGTTCAAAATACTTCTTTTGAAATCATCAACTATTGTCAACTATATCATCATGCTATTAAAGTCGCACACAGCAACCAGGATCATTCATCACACCAATAAGATCAGTTTTATGCAGTAGTGAATTCCACCAATAACACCGTCATTAACATTCACAGGCCACAGCAGACACAAGGGTGTTTTTGTGTTTTCTGATTGTGGTAGTTAATATGCGCTGTTATCATCAGGGAAAGGTACTTCCTAATTAAATGGTTTATGAGTTAGTCTTTAGTACTGTTACTGCAGCTTGCATGCTATCCCATAGCGGATTGGTGTTATCCACCTACTGATAAACATGACCATCAGATTTCACTCTTAGAGATATTTAAGACATGTCAGCGATAAAATAAAACAGAAGAGAAGTCCTTAAATCAGAAAGTTTTGTCCAGATCAATTGTTGGTGAGGTATCGGTAATCAGAGTACTTGAGTTTGCTACCAGGTATGAAAAATTATAGCTTCGCAGCTGAACTTTCAGTCTGTCAATTTAATCAGTTACTTTATAAAATTCTCGTCATCTTTTGTCAAAAGAAAGATAGGAAAAGAGGGTCAAGACTAACGCAATATGACATTTTACTACCGCCAATGTCTGCTCAATTTCCATTACTTGGCCTTCTTGGTGTTGTCTGACAAACGAAAGCATCTCCTTCAGTCGAAAGTCTCATGAATTGTGACCAAAATATGCTAAATTTCCAAAATGTCAAGGTGCAGACCGGTACCCGCGTGTTAGTTGGGAGAATAAAGTTAAGAAGGGTAATTTGTATATCTGAGGATTTCATGCCTAGACTGTAAGTGTGGTTTCCAATTACATCTTCCAGATATTTTAGTGAAGGAAAACTTTTCAGAATCATAAACGAAAGGCAACTCGGTGGAGATAATTTTATTTTGAATGAGTCATTTTCACAACCACCTGTTTAGTGGTTAGCAATGGCATAGACGGGTACGACTTTCAAGCATAACAGAAGTAGATTAGTTTCAACAGTAAAGCTTATGTGCGGAACTAACGACGAAAGCATAAAAACAAATACTAAATGATTGTATACGGTGCTTTAGTATGCACAGTCTAACTAATCGCCAATGAACTAGTTAAATACTTCGAAATCTTTAGTGCGAATGCTGTGATATAATACACTGCAAAGTCTGCATATCAAATTGGTTGTTCATACAAGATTACTGCTCCGAGTCTTAAACTTCACATGAAATCTGTAACGTAGTGTAGCACTACAACGAGTCATATTTTCATAGTTATAATGACCCTATGAAGGCAGTGGATGTAGGCTGAAATTGGATTGAAATATATATACAGCTAAGGTACAACAGTTATTGAAGAAGATTTTGCTCTGCAAATCTTTGTATCACGGCATAAAAACAAGCAGTAATATGTTTAGAGAAAAAACAGATGCACTTTATCTACAAGTATGTTTTTGGCAACATGAGTCAAAAATTATGCTAAAAAGTAGAATCATCTGGTTCTAACGAATTAGTATTAAAAATCCCAATTTTGAAACTATGATGAACTTTTTCTCTTTCTCAGATGGAAGCAAGGTCATCAATGTACTAAACACATATTTGTAAATGAAGGCGCTTTCATACGCCCAAAAAATTTTGAACTGTGATCCTGGTCTATGATGGCCTCTGAAAGATATCCTTTTTAACTTTATTCTTAAGAAAGCGTTTTATTCTTCATTGTCAGCGTCAATAGATCAAAGCTTAATTCTTTTAAGGAATTCGCCTTTATTCTAATTCAAACTTGACGTACGCATTATCGAGTTAGAGAGTTAAATCACAGTTGCAAAGCGTCGCATCAGCTACGTAGTGTAAATTAAAATCCTGGGTCTTTTTATGTGTCTTGTCATGCTGTTTGTCATGGCCATTTTTAGTTGAAATGGTGAGCTTATGTTGATCAAACACTCTAAAATACACATCTTGCCTTCTGTACATATATCTGCTAGTTTTGAATTTGAATTTTTTCTCAATGTATACATGAGTAAGCGTTAGGCACGGTAGTAGATTGTAATTCCGTTTTTAGGCTGTTTATTAAAAATGTCACACAGTAAAACAGTATCATTTACTGGATAGCTTTTCGGACATATCATGATTTGAATATAAACAATAAATTATGTCCAAAACGCTATCCAGTAAATAATAATGCTTCACTGAATGGTGTTAGCAATGAAACTGTATGATAACTTAATTGCTGTGTTGTAGTGTTGAAACTAACATTTAGTTGTTTCTTATAAGTGCCTAAATGTTTGACTAGTTAATAGCTCACTTAATAATATGGTGATAAACCTAATATTATTCCGCCTCATAGGATCCAAACAGGCTTACTTTTATTTGCTTTCAAATATTTCCTAGACATAGTACAATCCGCTTGCTTCCAGAGAATACTAAGTATGATCTAAAATTACCGCATCCAGAAAAAAGAAACGGGTTGTATTCAAACTATCTTCGAAGTGTGTGTTTTCTTGTACATACTAGTGATTTAAACAAAAAGATGGTCCTAATTCAAATTTGGTTCAAGAAGGGTATCACGTCTAGGAAACTAATTGGTGAAAGCTTTATACCCGTTAAAGAGTATAACATGATTTTGGGACATAAACAAACATTTCATTTGTTTAAAGGAAAGGTGAGTTCATTTATTGAATGTAAATAAATGTGAACCAGAACAATACATCAGAAGCTACGCGTATTTTTTAGACATTGATTAACTATTGCATCTATAAACATGCATAAATTCACAAGAATGCATTGAACTCATTTTAGGACAAAGTAGATCCATCTGCAAAGTATAGCTTACCTTAATTCCTTTGTATGAGAGCATTTTAGTTGTGAGATGATTTTTAGGATCTGAATTTGTCAAGAGAACCCAGGTAATCGAATTAGTCCCATTAGATAATGAAAATTAATTGAAGACAGTTCAGCGAAGAAAACTTATTTTTCGACGAATCATTTTCAAACGTTGTATATCCTAATCTTAGTTGTGACTATATATATATATATATATATATATATATATATATATATATATATATATATATATATATATGTACACACATATATGTATATGTACATATATATATATATATATTTATATATATATATATATCCATCAATGGCATATGGGTCATTACAAAGTCACCAATAATTGCTTGTAGGATTGTAGTAAATAAATAAATTAATTAATAAGCTTTCTTAAGGAGATTACGACCAAGGCAAAACTAGAGACTGAAAGTGCCTTTTCTGAGCATAAAGAACAGGCTTGTAATGCTGGATCCCCAGAGCTTCTGCTGTTTTGGGGTGGCGAATATGTACTCGCTTCGAAATGTTTGCCTTCATTTAGTAAATGACTTCAAAAGAAGGCTCTCGTGGAGCTTAGTGACCAGATACATCCAAACGCTCATAAGTCGAACTGTTGACGGCTTTACAGTGATCTTTAAACAGATATAGGACAAACTATTAGTGGATGCTTTTACATAGAGCACACTTTGTGCGGATTATATAACCAGCTCACAAGAGCAGATGAATCGGTAAACACATATGAAGTTGGTCCCGAGCGCTTTTTATCGTTTGCATACCCTAGAATCAGTTGTTGCGACTATGATTACGATTAATAGGTTCTGAAAATGATTCATCGAAAAGAAAGTTTTCTTCGCTGAACTGTGCTTTTAATATTCGATTGTATATCTTGGGGATAAAGACATTGAGTTCTAATACACAAATGAATATTTGCTTATTTAACCATGAAGAGTGGAAGATGAACAGCACATCCTGACGAGATAAGTTATAATCTAATTATCTCGTACTGTGTTCTTCTTTTTCATTCTGTAACATGGAAACTGATAACTGTCTACAGAGCCTAAAGGAAGTTATTTTTAAATCTCAATAAAGTGGCATTAATTAGTTGATTATCGACTAGTTTTAAGATAGATAATGTAAGTAAATTAACTCTCAGTGATTCTTCACTTTTATCCTATTTTCTTCAATTTTTCATGAGATTTCGGAATTTTGCATAAAAGTATCTTCATGTACAACGGGACTCGGAATTATTTAATGGGGTAGTGCACCACAAATGATAGACTAGTATGCATGTTAGCCACTTAAACGTCTTGAAATGTAAAAATGTAAAAAGCTGAAAAAGCTAGTGAACTCATTAGTTAATTAGATTTGACGTCTCAGTTCTTTCATGAGAAAGCTTTTACCTTTGTCGCCTTGCATCCAGTTGCATTTTACAGTAGTGGTTTATTCATACAGACAACTTTCTAAGTTATAGATGTAGATTATTGACTTCTAAAAATAAAATTTAATGGCAACATATACCCTGCAAGTTCTTAAATTCAAAAACTTCATACTATTAAGAATTGGTTGTCAAAACTATTATATGAACACACTGAGGAACTGTGAGGCTCACTCGTTTAGCTATTGTTCACAGATGGTCTTTATACTGATCGGTATAAACATTATTATCAATGGAATCAAATCCTCACTTTAGGAAACAAATACATCTTCCATCACAACTATCTCATGTTTTCCAGTCACAAAATATTACCTTCAGCGTATAAACGGTAGCACCTCAGATACACTGTGGTAACCTTATATAACATATTTTTCTCAGTAATTACGGTTCAGCCAAAGACACTGAAAGTAATAACCAACAATGGTATCAATTTAAAGTTAGGCGATAATAACGAATACTAACAAAACCTTTTTTTGGAAGATGAAAAGTTGCAAAATTCTATATAATCAACTGTTGAAGTATAAGTGATGAATATAGTAACTAGAGTAACACTAAGATACAATCTCACATTACCATCTTTTTATCCTCCAGCTACTAATGCTATAATATTCTCGCTGTGTAACATAGTGGCATTACTTAACAGTAATTGAGTAAAATTTGAACATATTCTCCTAGAGAAAGCTTAAGTTATGAGGCTTTTTATTGTTAACAAACTTTTTCTGAATCACTAATGTTGATTCCCTCTTCACAGGATTCCATATCAAATGTACCTTTAAACTCAACATATTATGGTGAAATAAAGGTTGCACTTCGTTTTGCCATCTCTGTCAACCAAAAGCGAATGGTTCGTATAGCTGAAGAAGCCATTGATCTTTGTGGTACATTAGAGGTGTGGATTAAAGAAGGAATGAATTTAATATCACCAATATCGGGAAGAGATGTGAATTTATTTGTAACTGTGTGAGTATTACTGAAAAATGTTATTTCATTTGTAAAATGTAGAGTTTAGTTGAAAATCCAGAAAAAAGGGAACCGTTTTTACTGAATTCCCAACTGTAGCAGAACAAGAAATTTAGACTGGATACTTATTGGCATAAACTTATTTCTGTTTCGTAAAGTGGACTATAAAGTACTTGTGAAAATGTCCATTGAAATATTTTGGAAACAGTAAATTGAGCTCAGAATGCCGTTTCTTCTTCTACCTCACCGTCATCAACTGGATACTAAGACATAAATTGTTTTAAATTATGCATAATAACCTGGCAAATCTGGAGGTGTTACTTGAGTTGATACAGATATTATGATTGACTTATGTTTATTTTGATTGTCATACCTATTTTATAAAAAAGCTACTGCTCTTTGAAACACTGTGGCTTTCTCATTTTGGAACTCACTCGACATATTTTGGTATTTCTAGAGGATTATTTTCCTTTATGCCACTGAATAATGTAACACACTGATACGGCGAATCAGACTTCGTGAGTAAGTAAGTAAATTCTATGACGTCCAATAATTAATATTATACTTGATAATAGTGTTCCGCATATACATTTCGGACACCTCTGATGTAAATTAATCGCTCCATCATCTAAAGTAGCTTGTTTATCCTAAATAATCTAATTACGAAAATAATTTAAAAATGTTTATAGTTTAGCACTGATAAGTGGGTCACTTCTTTGTGTCACCATTGTTGTGTTGTTCAACTTGGTGCGAAGTCACAAAGAACGTGTAGATTCTTCAACATTATTTTAGACCACAATAAAGTGAGGCTGTTTCGCTATCAAGAGAAATTCCTATTTTTGAAGCTGAATTCGGACTACAACAGAGACTATCTTAAAGTGACTATATCCAAGTTTAAAAAGGTTTCCGCCAAACAGTTCCTAACAGCGTTTGGTCAACTATTGATCTGAACTCCTGAGATCTAATGTTGCGACAGATGACAAACTGTTTGTAATATCAAGTGAAGAATGAAGTCAAACAAGGGCCTTACACAGCACACACACACACACACCCTTTGAATGAACTTCAACAAGATTACGTTGATGTTCTATGTTTACCTTTTCAATGCTTCAAAAAATGAGGCTGGTCGATTAGTTGTGCATAATTTTATAGATTTGCTGAGATAAAGTATTCTTTCTGAATTTTCTAGTTTAAATAATGTGATTGCTAGAAACCTCTCGTGTCAAATTTCATTTGTTTGTTCATCTACTTTTGACGTTTCGGCGATAATCATGCAACAAGTTACATTTTGTTTTGTACTCTCGAAGCTCATTGACAGATGGAAACGAAAACACGGAATATCGTAGCACAGACTGCGTACAACGAAGCGATCAACCATTTTGGAATAGTATACTGAGATTCTCAAATCAGCACTTAAGTGATATATATGAAAGCAAATTGAAAATAACTATATGGAATCGTATTAACAGTTTTAAACCGGCAGAGCAATTAGGAGTTGTTAAAATTTGCACTAAAGGTAAATCACTCTGATTATTTTCTATATGAGTTAAAGATTCGATCAGTGAATGATAAGATCTGAGTCACAAATTACAATCTCTAGTCATCCAGTTCGACTGATTCTATCCTCTAGAATTCAGAAGCTTGACAATCACATAATGCCAGTTTCGATTCTGCATTGAACATAAGGAAAGAACGATGTGAACTTTCCCTCTAGTGAAAATTAGGACATAAAAAAACAAACTTAAGTGAACTTTTACTTACAAACAAAATTATTAAATGAAGTCAAATTCGTAAACGTTTGCTTATTTCAGGGCAATAGGAGGTAAAATAAAAGGTGAATGAACAGTATAAAAGAATATGAACTATATTGTACGGTTATCCTAGATAAAAATGTCTCTCAAGAATGACGTCCAAAATCTTTACATCTTTGCAGCACAAAAGAAAAATGATGTCACTTTATTTCACAAATATTCTTCAGCCACATGCAGTCTTAAAATACAATGGTTATTCTAACATAAGATATTTCAAAATTCGAGAATCAATAATCTCAAGTTTTATAGCAAAATATTATCCTTGATAATCCATCAGATGCGTAAGATAATTAATAGTACGGAGGTAAGAAATGTAAGAAAGGAAAAGTCAGTAAGGAAGTGTGTATGATGTTACTACTTACACTTTCCTGTTGTTGATTAAAACTGACTGATAGCTCTTTATTAGCATATAGGCTCTTGTGCTGACGCCTCAATACTGCATAAAGTTTCAGTTCGGTAATAATGACTGATAGTGGCTAGCAGGGAGTGACTAGCGTGACATGGTGGCTTAATGGGTAACACTCTGGCATTTGGAGTGGTAGGTCCTGGGATAAAGACCCAGCGGGAGCAACATCGCTCAGTGGGAGGCAGACACATCCTGTTGAAAAGTACCAAATAGAAGGAAACGCACTTCATGGTTTTCACTGCTGGCCAATGTCCATCATTACCACCAAAGAGTTGTGCAGTTATAATGATCATGAAGCAAAATCAAGTCATAATCAATAAGGGAGTCAGAGAATAACCACACTCTGGTTCTGCATGATTTCAATAGTTTGATATATTTCTCAGTGTCTTTGAATTTCTAATAACCAACATTGTATACAGAGGAACATTTTACTTTGTTAGAAATAAAATAAGCATCCTGAGTTTATAATTAAAAGGAGAACTGTTTTTCCAGCGTGATAGTTTTGATTTTACTGCTAGGCTTTCTTTCTAATCTTTATCAACCAAATATCATGCACCAAGTCGTTCCTTTTATCTTCAAATCTTCAAAGAGATGTGTAAATCTGCGGTCTCTGTTTATAAATTAGCTATGTTTCGACTGTCCTTCTTTAATGAATATGATATATCTAACCAGGTAAAAACTAAATAAAGTTTTGAAAACAACTACTGAGTGAAACAGAAAATGAGTCTTCATTTCCTAAAAACTCATTTGAACATTTGAAATACACTGGTAACAACGAGATGCCCAACCACAACTCTGAGATTGTCCCCTTCCCTAACTTACTTCTACTAACATGATACACAGTCTTAGTATTTTGTATGACTGTGTGTGGAAGAATACCTAGAAATAGTCAATCATTTTTGCGGGATGTCTTGAATATATTAGTTTTGATCCACTCAAGTTTCTGTGTTGACACTGTTTAGCAGATACTAGCTAAATACTTCAACCTACATGTTTGACTTACCTCTAACTGAAATGGATTCAGTAGTACAAATTGTCCTGTGCAGTGAGTTCATAATAATTTTTAACCTGCAAATATTGTTTCCAAGTGATTCTGATATGACTGTTATGACACTGTAATTTCAGTCATACTCAGAATCCAATGTATGTTTCTTTTATGTAGACCTCAAACCAGTGTTGAAATTCTCTATTTTTAAGATGTCACTGTTACTGTAATCAAAGGACGAACCGAATAGAATATACTCGACTGTTAATTTTATGGAAATGGTTCTGCCAAGCATGAAGATTCAGCTTACAGTTTTTACTCAACAAATGAAAATAGTCACAACTACTTGTACTAAGCATGACCAATTGTTCATAAATAACTGATAGGAAAAATGTGGATTAATTACCTAAAGCCTAAGTGTTTGAAAGAAGTTTTAATTAATTTAATTAAATTATTTTCTTCCTTTATGATTATCAGGTAGAGAGTATGATTTCAAAACTCTTCTAACTGCTGACGATGATGAAGGAGTTAGTCAGTGCAGTACAAAAAAATCGAATGCATCACTATGGGAAGCAGTGCAATCTAAACCAGGTACATGGGTAGAACAGATTCTCAAAGTTCATGCTCCAATTTCAAAGTAAAAACTCATGCACTCAGCAGAAATTTCACCAATCTATCCTATATCATTGGATTCAAATGACTTTTATATTCTTTACAAATTTTTATTCATTTAATAGAACGAGTATATATTCTTGAAGACTGAATTATAGTTAAATTCATCATCAAAATATTACAAAGTAGTTTGCTTATTATATCTGTACACATCAAATATTAAGATTAACAATATTTTGTGATACATAAGTTCAATAAAACATTTCAGACCATTTAACTGTTATGGTTACCACTTGTTACTGACAGGCGATTGTTGAATCTAGGTAAACAGGAGTAGGCATTCAAGTCACAAACAATAAAGCTAGCCTCTAAATCACTCTATTTGCTTTCTACTACACAACCAGCGAATCCATTTAGCCCTATATATATATATATATATATATATATATATATATATATATATATATATATATATATATATGACAAATGTTACTTTTACACGCATCGTTAAATGTCAATGACTTTTCCCTAAGATTTTGTGTTTCCCAATCAATCTGGTACGTTTGTTTAAATACTACTGCACAAAAAGTGAAGTATGGCTTGTGCCTAATACTAAGAGCTGTTTGGAAAGCAGCGTCACAGGAAATTAAGTCGATTTTTACAAAGCAAACAATCTTAGATAAATGATTTAATTTTCTAATATAGTTACTTTTCTGCTACCATTGGAGTACAATCGCTCGTGTTTTGCATTGATTTCTGTTACATATTTTATGTTCAATTTCTTCTATTTTGTACTGAGGCTAGTTTTCGTATTTCTACTTTACTCGCTCTAAATTTCAGTATCTAAGCATAAATAAGTTTGAATTTAAATATCTCACAAGATGAAAACAACTGTCGTAATATTGAAAGATTGAATTTTATTCTCATTATTAAAGAAGGTACAGGAAATAGTACTGATGAGATGTCGAATTAAGCAGTGGAGAATGAGAAAGTTGTTTTGAGGCTTTAAGATATTCTGAAAAACATCTTCAGTTGTGATATCAGAAATGTGAAATAAAAGTGGTGAAAATCAACTGAATTTTGACATAGAAATCTCTTACTGATATAACTGTTTGATTGAACTACTTCACTACATAACACTTCATCATTTTAGACTTTGAACTTGAGACACCTGTGGTTTGGCAGATTATTATTGATTCTGGGTGATGACTTAACGTGAAATTAAAATTTTGACCGCGGCATTGTATGAACAAGCTACTACCGCGTTTTGGATATAGTGTTGTGCCAACTGAGCTACAAGGCCCAACTGCTGGCCAGATTTTTATTTCACTTCAATCATTAAGGGTTTTGTCCGAATATCACGTGAATTTGGGACACGTTACTACCGCTTGATCATACTCACATTGGCTGCTCAGTAAGAACTTCTCATCGCAATCTAAATCTAACTGAAATAGAGAGGGGAGCATCGTCCTGATTATCATTTCGACTATCTGAGATAGCCGTTTTTTGAGAACTTAATATTTATACTGGATGGTGGTTGTAACTTTCGTGACTTTTGAAATGAAAGAGGACTGGCAGAAAGTCTCGTACAGGAAGAGAAGTGCTTGCATAAGTTATGAGGAACAGTGATACGTGATATTCTTGAAGAAGTCATGTAGGTTTAACCATCAATAAACGCTGATGAACACTGGTTCAGCAACTTTCGCATCCCATCTTTTGTGGCCAACCATTTCCTTGAAAGCAACTTTAGTGAAGCCTCTCCACAAAGAAGTTGTGAAGCACAATCTCAAAGATACCTTTGAATTTGTCAGAAAGATTGTGGATATGGAAGTAGATAATAAGTTAATGATTTCGTGTAATATTTCATCTCTTTTTACTAACGTTTCTTTAATGGAGATAGTAGACTTTATTTGCAACAAACTCACGAAGCATGGCATGGAAATAGGCACTCCAGTCTCCATATTGAAAGAACTACTTCTGAGGTGTACGATGAGTGCACAATTTCTTTTCAACAATGAACTCTACCGGCAATCTGATGGTGTTGCTACAGAGTCACCCCTTGGCCCGCTCTTAGCAGATTTTTTTCTGGCAAAACTTGATAATGGTCAATTGAACGACACTATTAGCCGTTTAGAGTTATATTGTCGTTACGTGGATGATACCTTTATAGTTCTCAAAATTGAGACTGATAAGAATGCTGTTCTGAATAAGTTCAATATTGTTCACCCGGCAATCAACTTCACAATGGAAGAGGAGAAAAATGACAGTATCCCATTTTTTGATGTTCTGTTAGTAAGAAGGTGAGATGGAACACTGAAGCGAAGTGTTTATAGAAAGCCAACATCAAAAGGTCAATATACGCACTTCTTTAGTGCTGTACCCCTCCAATCCAAAAGGAACCTAGTGAAATGCTTAGCATATCGTGCCTCAGCTATTTGCTCAGAGGAAACTATAAAGGAAGAATGCGCCATCATGCGTGGTCTGCTTAGTGAGAATGGCTACCCAGACAAGTTTGTAACCAAGCACATGGATATTACGATGGTTAAGACAACAATGCCAACAGCAAATCTTCTTGAAGCTGCAATTTAAGAGTGACATTGCCACTAAGGTCATCACACAAGGCATAAAAAGAGTCTTGCATAAAGTATTCCCAGCCGCTAAGTTATGTCCCGCCTTCTACAGCAGCCAGATTTTAGGTGCAAGAAATAAAGACAAACTGCCTGATTCTGCCACTTCTATGTGCATTTATCAATTCAACTGCTCCTGTGGAACTAGTTACAGTGGGCGTACAATGAGGCAGTTCCATCGTCGAATTTCTGAGCACCACCCATCATGGTTGAACAAGGGACAAATTAGAACTATAAAGAGCTCCATATTTGCACACTTAATTGACACAGGACATGAAGTGGTTACCAGAAAAGCCTTCAAAATAATCCGTCAGATTCCAACTAACTTACCTCTTGGATTACGCACTCGCTTACTTCACATGACAGAGGCGATTGCAATCTACCTTTGCGAACCTAGCCTTTGTATCCAAAAGAAGTTTGTTTGACCACTTTCATTACCATGGCCGTCAACATGATGTAACTTCTAGGTTTACTTTGTAAACCTCTTCCTCTTCTTGGTTCTATCAATATTCATATTTCCAGTTTTAGTAACTCTATTGATTATTTACATCATTATTTCCGAAACATCACTGAGTGATTGGTAATTTGATCAAATTGTAAACCCATATATTAGTGTAGAGCCCAAGATGAAGACTTAAAAGGAATATATTTCTTCGCTCAATCAGTCTTTTTCTAAATGTCTAAATGGGAATATTCAATGTATTGAAATAAAGGTTTACTGAAAGGTCAACCATATAATTATTGTTTAAGTACTGATTCGTCTAAAGTTAGTCTTTACATTTATAGGATGTTCTTGGGCTTCGTCGTGATTAGATTTTGCTAAATAACGGAAACAGGTGATCTCACATGTAATTATTTAGCTTGTTTGAAGCTTTTTTTGGAGCTTACCGATTTTCAGTGACCTTTCTAGCTTTAAGCTTTTTGGTTGATGACGTAATAAGTAATGTGTTATCGATCTGAAATCTCACAGCTAAAAAAACAAGCTGACAATAAAAATGGGATCCCAGATTCACCTGTATCTTCACACAATCCTTCCTATAAATAAGCCTGACTAAATCAAGAACAATAGATAACTTCTGGAATGCTTTTCTGCTGTGAATTGCTATACAGTATTGTTCTACAAATGGTGTATTATTTTCAAGTGTTATACCTTTTAGTAAACGTCTTGCCCTAGTTATGCTCGCTTGATTTGGTTTCACTGAAATACACATTATTTTGAACATAGGAACTAGGAGACTTTCGGATCGTGTTGCGGAAGCAGCCTATTTGATCTGCATACTATGCTCAAACTGCAAGGCTAACGTTTACCTCATAGATTACTGCTTTGATTCTTAGCAACATTTAGTCCTTCTGACAATCAGGTTGACATTTCAGCATCATGAGTAACAATCTTCTCAAACCTAGGAAGATTTTAGTTACTACAGTTCGAAAAGAATAACTTACAGTATCCACTGTAGACGCGCCACACACTGTTGAATCGTTGTACGTGAGGCACATATCTGAAATGTGCAAACCATTGAATTAATCTGTTATCTACTGACAACCAGCTGGCTAGTCCCGTTATGGATTCTTCTTCGCAGCTTATGCACAAAGATGGTGAAACTTTGGTAGTCACTTGTGGTGATGACTCGTAAGTTTCAAAAAAATAAACCTTAAATCATGTGTGACTGATTGACATAGTTTACAGGTTTAGTGCAAAACGAATATTAGCGTCTGCCATTTCTGCTTATTAAAACTACAAGGTTTTGTGTTTATGCATAAATTTCACAATTTTTTCGTAATCTAAGCCAGAAATTTGTGATACCAGTTTAAAAGATATCGAGTTTCAAGTTAAATCCTCTTCCCTCCATTCCGCTGAATTTATATGATAAATACGCAACCTCACTGTAGCTTTATTTGATAAAAGTTGCTGGTTTTTTCATACTAACACCGCCTAGTTAACTAGTTCCCTAGTTACTAGCTGGTCCTAAGCCAGGATAAACAGGGAAGGTTGAGCAAACGGCTAGCAACCCTACCCCGGGAAAGCAATCCAATCACTAAAGAAACTTCAAAACACAAATAAAATGTAAAAAATAAAAACAAACTTATTCCCCACTGGAATCGAGAAGACGAAATGACGCCGGTTGGTGAAAGCCTTCGAGAAGACAGCTGGCCGATGTGTCTTCGCTTCTCTCGATGAAACCAAAAGTAAGAATAGGGACAATGAATATCCACACGATGTTTGAAGCTGAAAAGGCTGCTGAGATTGCAAAAGAAATATGAAGATATCGCACAGACGTTCTAGGAATCTGCGAAAGCTAATGGAATGGAAGTGGAAGGGAAAACTGTCAACTGGAAGTCAGTAATCTACTCCGACATTATAACTCAGACAACGACAACGAGTACGCAGTCTTTGAAGTGGCTATCATGATGTCCCCAACAGCATCAAAGGCTCTCATACAGTGGCAACCAATCTCCTCCAGGATCGTAACGGCAAGGTTCAACTCAAAAGGAAGGAAAGTCACAATCATTCAATGCTATGCACCTCCAAATTATGCAGATGAAGAGAAGAAGGAGGAATTCTACAGACAACTGTAATCAGTAATGGACAAGATCCTGTAGTGCACCTTCCTGGCACCAAAATATAACTAGGGCTAAAA